AGTGTTTAAACTGTCACATCAAATAGGCTCAATGTGGAGATTACTTGTGCAGGACGCATTGTATGTTTAGTTTGATGCCGACTGCAATATCCTGCTGCTCTGCTGATCCTAGCGGCTCCATGAGAAGGGCAGCGAAGTCGAGCTGTGTCAAGTAGAGGTGACTGGTGCCGGGCACGCTCGCACTCTGATCAGAGCCCTGGAAAGAATATATAACTTTGAGCAGCACCAGAATTCCCTCAATGTTTGTTTTGATAAGAGAAGCTCTGATCATTCAGCAGGCGTGTGTGATAAAGCAGAGAGCGTGGCACATCATGAATTTATCAATTTGAAGACATAGATGGATAGTCAGCTATGGCTGTATCCAACTGTTTGTGTTTCATGCACACTTAACGAGGGCCGGAGACTATACACGCTTAAAACCGTGAACACTTAAAATTTGGTGTGTGCTCCAAGTGACTACATACAGTGAGAGGACTCTGTGTTTTTCTTCGGTGAACTGTGCCAGCTCTCTGACAGCTGATGAATGAGCCCAAATCACGCTCCTCCCACAGATCTCTGTTCATTTGCAGCATGTAATGTAAAGATCTGAGGAGTCTAAACACAGCTCGCGGTACAATATGTGGATCCAGTGACTAATAATTTATATGAGCGAATTCAGCTCAACGTCAAAACTGACCACAGCTGATAAAAAAGCAAAAATAGATGTTTTTTTATGGAGATATTTAATTACCTAATGTGCGATGATATAAGCAGCCTACGTCAAAGTTGTACCTTAAAGCTATAGCTCAACACTATTATGTAGACGTGTGTTCTACCCTTCAAATCAACTTCAAAATCATTTTGATGCTGCACTGACTTATAATAGGCTGAATGGTGCCGCTGTCATTCCCACTCTGCGCCCATATGTCTGTTCTTTCATTATGTAACTTTGTGATCTGGGACAAATGCGTACCGCTTTACAGCAGCAGTCACACACCAACAACTATGTCACTGATTTTGGTAAAACTGTATCATATTTCATGGAGAAATGTTTTCTAGTTTTCCCACTGATGTCTTTTGGCTGCTCCCCCTCAACTCGCTGTAACTGCTGCAAAATGAAGCTGCTGTTAGCTGGCATACGGCCAGTCCTCACAAATGAAGACCACTTTCATGATTTTTGAAGCACATGCATTTGCCAGTAGTAAAAAGCTGATATTAGGCTATAAAGGAACGAGTTCAACGTCACCACCACTAAGCTTTAAGTGTTGTAAATCTCTTAAGCTTGTGTTAACTATAGAGCTTATTTCAGGCATCTAACCAAAAACCCCATTCAAAAAACACACTGACTTTGAGGCAGGAAGAGGAGGTGCAAAAATGCTAACACATTTCTGGGTCTTAGGACTCATTCCTGCAGCACTGTCAGTATTTGGTTTCTGCAGTCAAACTTAATATGTCCTAGTGCAGCTTTAAGTACAGTTGGGCTACTTGAGTAAATGTTACTTCCCACTGCTGCCTATAAGTGGACCACCAGCTGACTCCATCTGCTTCTTCTAACCGGTTTAACAAATGATACCTGGTGGGCTGTTTAAAGACCCACCGCTGTGTGGCTCTGTCAGAAATCCCATCCAAAGTAACACATGATGCCCTTGCCTGTACGCCTTTTGCTGCTCCGTCAGTTGGATTGGCTAGTTCCACAACTGGACAGGAAGTGTGCTAATCTGCAACCCGATCCGGGGGAAGGAAGAAGTCAGGAACCAGCCTTCAGTGCTTTCACCAATCGTATTCATCACCAGAGCCGGACCGAGGCTCATTTAGAGCAGGAGCACGGCTTAACTAAACATCTTCTCCATAAAATAAATGCTTCCAGGTTACTCCCAGTCCAGGTTCCACTCAGAGGAGCATCTGATCTCAATTACCAGGAATGCTATAGGAAGCAGCAAGCCGCGGCCTGCAGCCTGCGCCAACAGCACCATGGCAACCAGCAGCACGTCTACGAGCCCTGCGCAGATAGGAGTCCTTTTCAGGCACTTGTAAGGCGGGAAATGATGATTTGATAATTAGTTCCTGATGCCTCTCATTCTTTTTCATATCAATCATGTCTAGGAAACAGAATGTAATTCAAATACAGTTTGCTGTTTGAAGCTGCAGAGGTTGGTCGGTTGGTATACTGAACGTCCACTGAGGAGTGATGTATGGATGCCCACAGTCAAACAAACTGCAAGACTAAACACCAGAACAACGCAGAGCACTGAAAAAAAGGGAGAAAAAAATCACCAAGAACTGATAGTTAGGAGCACGTTATTGATGCAGTTTCCAAGATAGATGGGTTTTAGAAGTGAGTTGTCTTTGTACTTTAAACACAGTTCCCAAACATTTAAGCAGTGGGAGGGGTATAAATTAATGTGTGCTGCATTCAAGTGCACCTTATTTACTCCTGCTTCTAAGATCACGTTAGAAAACGGAGCAGAAAAACTAACAAAGAGAACAAAGAAACAGCAATAGCAAAATTATATCATCATCATCTTAGTTCTATCATTGAGTTACTGTAAATATATTCTGAAATAACAGAATTTAAATTAATTTTAAGTAGAATATTCAGGATTATTTCTGTAAAAACATTAATACAGTGCAAAGAGAAGGCAATTTCTTATCGGACGTCTAACATTTTTATTTTATATATTTTTTCACTGACATTGATAATCATCACTGTATATCACTGGATCATCTGTTTGTTCTAAAACCTCAGGGGCTGCACACAAACACAACCTCTAACACCAGCAGACTGGTCCATAAGTGACAAGAAGCTGAGCCTCTAACAGTTTTGCTCTGAAGTGGTTTGTGAACCACAACACATACTGTACTCCTTGAAGATGAAAATAAACTGTATTACTTCTGCTGTGTTTTGGCAAGATGAATCAGCTGACAACGTTCAAGACGGGAGACTTCTTTTTAAATTAGAGGTACAAACTAACTCGAATTACACTTACACTGGCACCAAATCATTTAAACAACAAAGTGAAATAGCTTTCTACATTTGTTGGAAAAACATATTCACTAACATGAACCGCATCTTCAGAGAGAGCTGAGATCTGCGAAGAAGAATTAACATGTTTTGGGCAAGATTGAACTTATCTCCATGTGGACATTGCAGACAAGCTAGTCCTAAAATTGCTACAGTATGAAGGAAATTACGCAGTTACTTCAACACTCAAACATCTCAGGTTTGGCTCAGATGATGTCTCAGTGGGAAGGTATCAAAGATCAGAACCAGGAAACTTAACTGCACTATTATATTCCCAAAAAACGCAAATCATAGGAACATCGTATTATTTCTGTGAGGGGCTGCAGGGTGCTTCCCCGACCTCAATAGAAAGAATCTGAAAAGAGAATTTGTTAGTAACGGTTTGTGTTTTGATCCCTGGACCAGCAGGATTAATCTGCTGGAGTGAAAGACAAGTGTTCGCTCCTCCCTCAATATCCCCCTAAAACCTTCAAAGAGCTGCGGAAAACATTCAGAATTAATTTTGTTTAGACTGAACATATGGCAGTCAGCTACAAAGGAACCTGTGTACTGTATTTGTACAAATCTGAGGCATTTGTATTTGAGTATTTTAATTTCATGTCACTTTCTTCTACAACAGCATTTCAGAGGGAAATATTACTTTTTATTTCACTACAGTTATTTGACAAATTTTGTTACTTTACAAATTAAGGCCATGTTTTTTTTTACACAATAAGCCACTCTAAACTATAGACAAACAGCTGAAACAATTAGCTGATTAATAAATTAGCTGATTGACAGAAAATTAGTTATTTTTATCATTTTTATATTAAAAACCTTTAAGTGTTCAGCTTCTTCCAGCAAAAGAATGATGATTTGAAGAATAATTTTAATTTATTTTTAATAAGGTTGATGTTTGGCCCATTGGTTGGACTAAAGAAGCATTGTGAAGATGTGACTCTGGGTAATAAAGCTCTGCTAAAATAAAATAAATGGTTTATTAATAATTAAGAATTAGAAATGTCTATTTACAGATTTTGTTTTATAATTTATATAAAATAATCAGAAGATTAATCCATAATGAAGAGTATATTTACAGTGTTATTAGTATAAGTAAAGGATTGGGGGCCACTGCTGGTATTGTCATCTCATAGGACGGCTACTTCAACATTCAAATACTACAAGAAAGCGCAATATTCTGACAATATTCCCATTTTTAACATTATACTTAAAAAAAAGCAGTTAATATACATTTTTAGATTATAATTTTGTATAATCTTTGTCATGGCCTAAAAATCTGCTGTCTTCTTATCAGCCCTCTGCATGCATTTGCTGGGACTTGACCTTCATCCATTATTTTGCACCAAACAAAATGTCCCTCAGGCCAGGTATGAGATCACTGGATTAAAGACCTCTGCAGCGTACCTGTTCATGACAAATAACACTATATCCAGCTCCAGCATTGGTTATTTTACAATGAATTACACTGTTAGGTCAGCCAATATTAAATCTTTCACATAGTTAAAGTTAGCAAATGCAAATACTCATCTAGTTTTAAGTTTTATGTCTTCAAAACCAATAACACATCGATCAGTTTTACAGGATACAACTCCAAAGATATACTGTAGTCAAACTGAGACAGTTCATTGTAGTCTTATTATCTTGCTCACACAGAAATTGTAATGAGGATGTTAATTTGCCAGCAGGTGGAGATAGAGCACTTAGAATTTTTCCTTTAGCATCACTCTGTTTTTGTTTCCTGACACTGTAATAATTTGAATGACACATAAAAACCCATAATCACAAACAGAATTTTTACTCTGCTAAAACTACTACTTCTTACCTTTACATCAGATGGGTTTAAATATTATTGTGAGGACAATTTACCCACAAGTTCTGGTTAAAAATGCTCAAATCATTTGGTGTCAGATGCAGTTTCTTTGAAATGCATTGAAGACTAAATTGAGGAAGTAGAGGAAACTGTGTTACCGCCCATTCTCTAGCTGATGTTATAAAGCCAGTCAGACCATATCAAAAGGCCTAAGTGTGGTTATGGAGATTGCTTTCTAGAAACAGAATAACCCTCAACCAAAATTAGTTCTGTACTGAATGACCCACGTGTAGCAATCATGAAAGGTGAGTTCTAAAATTATTATATTATTATTATAATTGAACACCCGGCAACTTAATTTGATGTTTTTACAGGAAGATAATTGAACTGTCTTTATTTTTATAGAGTTTAGCATCGTGTTCATTTGGGTGTTAATCAACCTGTTGCTGCTGCAGAGCTCATCATGTGCTGGTGACTCGAGTGTTGGTAAGCAGTTTTTCTCATTCAATCACGACACATTTGCATAATTGCACGTCTTTATTGTTTAGACTGATCATTTGAGAATTTGGTGGAGGATGTAGTAATTATAATAATAGTGTATTTCATGATGATAGTTTCTTTCTTTTCTATAAAGCTTATAATACAAAACTGCTGTTTCATCATATTCTGTGACCATCGTGATTAAGTGTGACTGTAGGGGGCGCTGTTATGTGGATGTTACTTAGTACATAAGTGATTGTTACCCTAAATGTTGACATTTTTCAGTCAATAAAACAAGTGAAAGAGTACCTGACATTGGATATAGATGAATATTAATAAATATTGCATATTTTTGTAAGATTTTTAGGCACTGTCTGGACTGGAACCGTGACCCTATTGTTTCTGGAACATAATCGAAATATTGTCAAATACTTCCCCTTTCTTTCCCTCATACATACTTTGTGTTAAAAGTGTGGTCACACTTTATAATGACACCCCAATATGGTGCAACACTGGCATCTGAAATATTTTTCAGCTACAGCACAACTTGCTTGCTTGACTAATGCTTTTAACAAATGAAACATAATTTAGAATTAAAAGTGCAGGGTTTTACTTCTGTGCTAATAGTTAAAAGCTAATAGTTCCTCATTTAATGTTATTTCTCTTCAATCTTTCAGTTGCATTCTATAATAAACTGTAGTAACTCTTACTTTGTCTTTGCTTCTGCATCCTCTCAAATCTAGATTTAGTGAAAAGTTAACATTACCTATTGGCAGGGGAGTAATGTCATCATCAATAATTGCAATTCATGGTTTGCACTGCATATTTAAGTTAAACACAAAGAAAAGAATAAGTTATTGTCTGTAAAGCAGCGAAATACTGGAAGACAGCTTTACTTAAATAGCAATACAAAACAATAAAAATACGTAATACTTAATAGTTTTATCACATAGGGTTGTTGTAGTCGTATACATTGGATTTACAAGTATTTTTCTGATGATTTTGCAATGACACCTACTATTTCTTAATAGTATCAGATATATCAGACTGTTTTGTGACAAGTCCAGGGTTTTTCCCAGTGCATGCTGGGATATGCTCTATCAATGAGTGGATGTATGGATAAACAGACTTTAGACTACTAGGTAGAGGACTTGTTGCAGTGCAGCTTAAATAGTGTAATACAAGTCATGCCGTAAGGAAACAGAATAAAAAGGTAGGATTGTAGAATAGTATGTTTCATCTATGGTGTTGATTGTCATAATCTAACTTAGACACAAATAATTTTACATATATTACTGTTATTTTTCAATAAGAAACTAAATCTTAATATTTCTGACTTGGATTTATTCCATGTCGGTCTATAGTTATGCATCTGCATAGAGTTAGACCTACACCAACATCAACACATCCGAACAATTTGAAACAACATGCATGCATTCATAAGGTTGCTCCTTTTAGAAACCCACATGCTTATCTACCCTCTTATTCACAGCTAATAAGGAAGAGAAAAAAAAAAAGCTGCAGTGTTTCATTATCTCATTGAACTTCTGCAAGTATGAAGGGGGGACAGGAAGCTGTATTATAACGGCCAAGATTGTTAAAGATGTGGTAAGAAGGTTGGCAGCAGAAACTTTTTTTTCTTTTTTAATCATCTTGTTTTTTGTCCACAGTAGTTTCACACACACACACACACACACCCACACACATAAACACACAAACACACACAAACACAGACATTCATACCTGGAAGCTTTCTAGTAAAACCATAGTCTGGTCCATGACTCAGCATGTCCAGTAAGTCAAGAGTGTTGCTCATAGGCACCTCAGTGGTGGAAAAATGAGGGTGAAGCAGAGACCTTCTCAAACCTTTAGGGGAAGATTTACTGCAACAAACACAGTTTCAGGTTGTCTGTGCTTGTTTCCCAGGCCTTTTTCAGTATTGCTCTGAGTCATTACACCAGCTGTTAATTAGCCATTTAGTTTAGTAGGGGCTACAGCATTAATCAGTTATTCATTCATACAAAGTAAGGTGATCATTTTCCTTCTTTTCAGTGAATCCCTGTTGTTACTACCCATGTCAGAACTCAGGAGTGTGTGTGAGATTTGGTACAGACGGCTACCAATGTGACTGCACTCGCACTGGCTTCTACGGAGACAACTGCACTATTCGTAAGTACAGCAAAATCTGCCTCTTTAAAATAAATCTGTCTGACACAATTTGGGTCTTTAAAAGAAAAGAAAGAAAAATTAACCCCTAAACCTAAACACTGTTCTAACCCTTACCTTGTGCACACTAATGGGCCTCCTATTTTATTTGTATGTGCTCCTTACAGAGTCTGCAATGAAAGCACCAATAGTAGTTTTAATGCCTTAATTTACTTGTGGTAATGTAATACTCAAAGAAGAAAACAAAAGGAAGTACTCACTAGCACTGTAGTTTTGCATTAAGAAATTGTCCTCCCAAGAAAAACGACAGCATCTGTCATTTTAGCAACTTCAACATATGTTTACGTTCAAGTAACAAAGTCTTCTAGTGGCAGCAGGTCAAAAGACGCTTCTATGTATTCAAAAAGTTTCCATGTTCAACATTAGGAAATCAGGATCAGAAATCAGAATCTTTTCAGATTTTTTACTTAAAGAATTCGTACCACTTTATAAAAAAAAAACTTTTAATGTTTAATAAATGTTTCACACACATTTTACATTCACCAATTCTTTGTACATCAGCTGTAAGAACAACTTTTGGGTAGTCATGTTGGGGAAAATCTCATTCTTTGTGTGCAGCGGAGTTCTGGACCAGAGTCCGTCTCATGCTGAAGCCCACCCCCACGGTGGTTCACTTCATCCTCACCCACTTCCAGTGGTTCTGGGACCTCGTCAACAGGTCCTTCCTGCGAGACACATTCATGAGATTAGTGCTGACAGGTAGGTGAAATGAAACCTAGACGTACAGTATTTGGAGGCTGAATTCTTTGCAAGTTACCTCAGACTGCGAATCGAGTTAAAGGTTGAGTCTGGTATCCTCTACAGTCTGTAGCATTCAAGACCATTGGTATATATATGTGTCACAAATATATAGTTTTTTTTTTTTTAAGTATATTTTTGGGGCTTTTATTGCCTTTATTATAGTGACAGCTGGAAGACAGAACAGGAAAGGGGGTCAGAGAGAGGGGATGACACGCAGCAAAGGGCCACAGTCGGATTCGAACCCTGGGCTGCTGCAGCAAGGTACTCAGCCTCGGTACATGGGTCGGCAGCTCTACCCACTAACCGGGCTAACCGGGCGCCCTGCAAATATATAGTTTTATTCAAAAAAGGCTAAAAGATTTAATAAAAAAGCTGTGCACTATAGTTTTGTTTGTTTTTGCAGAAGTAAATAGTGCATTTGTGGGAGACTATTTTCAGCTGCTTCAGCTTCTCTTGCTCTCGCACTGAACTACATTTTGTCACCTTCTTGCAAAGTCAGAAGCGAGGTTATTCCAAGCCCTCCGACCTACA